CTTGCACCAACCTACAAGAATTGAATAGTGCATTCCTACTACTTCATAGATGCTCGGGTGGTAAATTTTGCAGAACACAATCTGGGGTGAAATTAGGCTGACAGTCTTTGTTAATATGAATACTTGCTATAGAAAACATGAGGGGAAGCATAGTACCTCTGAAAATGTCAAGGAGGCAGATCTGAACTTTTTCCTGCTAGCAAATATAATTGCAGACACTGCCTCGCTGGAGTTGGTAGCCAGTGGAAGCGCAATGAATGAGATGAAAAAAGCAGGAATGCTCGTGGCACTGGAGAAATTATCGACAGCATCTACCAGAGGATCAGCAAATACTGCTGCAATAGCAGTTCCCAGCACCAATAACATTACAGCTTTAAATGAAGTCCATCGGGGATTCTCAACGGCCTCAACAATCTCATCACTTTGTTCTTCCAAAAGATTGTGTTCTCTCTTTGTTTGCTGCAACAAACTTTCCATGAATTCCTTATCTTAATACCAATTAAAGAATAGAAATATTTGTTAAATGGCATAGTACCTCATGAAAATAATCTATATAACCGAGACCAGCATGCTTAGAAACTTTAGCACCCTTAGCCTTCTGAAGCCATCTCTCAACTCCATCAATGAACTCCCCTAAACTAACTTTAGAATCATGAGTGGTATCAAACTCTTTCATCACTTTATCAACGACATCATTCTCATCCAAATCAATCTCATTGAAGTGGATTCCAACAATTAGTGCTCTAAGTTCAGAACGTGAAAGGTGTTGATCATCATTTTTATCAATTGTGTTGAACAGCCTGTAGTCAGGGAACATGAAAACATTAATGGAAAGGGCATAAGGGGTACTAAATGCTGGACATTGACATAACAGAGTGGAGAAACCAATGAAGTTACTTTTCCAATATTTCTACGTTAGGCTTCCCATCATCCGTGGAAAGCTTTCCCAAGGCACGCGTGTTCAAATGTTTCAAGATTCCTGATATTACATGCTTATGCTTTGCATAAGCAAGCCGTCTCCCCTGAATCCAGGGCTGAAAAACCTATGCAAAAGATTTAAAAAGAAAAAGAGAAAAGAAGCGATATTATGATTCAATTAATAAGACCTAAAAACTGACACGGATGAAATAATACTGAAGTCTCAACATAGTGTTTTTATCTTAACAGGGTAACCAAGGAGAATATCTAAAATGACAAACAGTGAAAATAATGAACTTTGTTAGCTCGCTTCTCTCTACTTGCCATACTACAGGCACACTTGCATATGTTTATGAAAACAAAAGAACCATTGGATTGATGATTTAAAAGTTTAACATATGAATTTCGAGTTCTAACATCATTCAATTTCACCAATTTTTAGCATATTAAGTTCCTAATAGATTGCATATGTTTACAATTGAACTAGTTTTTCCACTTTAAAACTATGAATTACAGCAAACTATTGCTTCGAGAAATACTGGTAAAGTCAACTGTAGCCCACATTGATATTCTGCAAAATATGTAGAGCTCCAGAAAAAATAAAAATATGTTGGGATCAGAAAATGGTATTTTCAAGCGAAGGATTGTAAAAGCAGAAAAAAAANCGATAATACCTGGTAAAGGCAATAGACGATCAGAAGTGAAACAGAGAGAATAAGAGCAATCAAGACAGTCAAGTGTCTTCCTGAATGTGAATGGAGAATTAATGGTATTTGGACAACTATGAAAGGGATCACAGATATAGCCATGATAATGCCAGCATAGCTAGTCCGGATATCAGTAGAAATGCCAGAGCCTGCGTGGACAAGTAAAACTGTAAGCTATATAGACTTCCATCACAAGAAAAACTTTGTAAATTATTTCCACTTTAGTGACAAAAAGCCAAGAGAATGGCTGTTCAAGAGGGTATGCATCTAGTAACAAAATGTCAATAATAAAGCAGCTGCTCATTAATTATGTCAAACGATTACTAATCAAGTTATGCCAATCCAACCAGAAATTGGGGGGTTGGACAAAGGAAGTTGAACTAATCGAGACGATTTTAATAGAAATTATTATCTATTAAAAGGACTAATGATATGAAGCACAAGAGGAGGAAGAAGATGATAAATAAGCAAATGAAAGATAGAGAAGGATAACAGAATAGGCTAGAAGATGATCAAAGCTTGTCGAGTAAACTTCCGAGTCTGCAACCAACACAACAGAAAGGATGAATACTGTTCTTGTCGATCCTATTAGGTCATTTATTAACTTGTATGATCTTATTGTTAAGTAAACATTATCATGTAAACTTCATCACTTCAGATGAAAGTTCCCAAACATTCTTTCGGGACATTTCGGCTGTAAAAGAAAACATATGCCCCTAATTCAAACATACCACGAAAATTTCATATTGCACACTGACAGTGACACAAGCATAACAAAGACATCAACTCAAAGCTACTAACTACAACGAACTGCACATAGACATTTGTTTCAATTTAACAGGCGCCATGTTATATTTAGAAAGTATGCCCTGGAGAAATAGATCGAGGCAAACCAATTAAACTGAAGCCTTTTGTATCTTGTAAGTCTATAGCAACATTATTCTGCAAGTCACACTTGCCAACGACAATACAGGTGCCCCACACCAGAGTAAGAAGCATGACGGTTGACCCAGCTAGCAATCCCATTCCAACTGAGACCTGGCTTTGAGCAGTTTCTGTGCTTCCAGATAAGCCAGACACTGAAAAGAAGAAATAAAAAATAAGAAACGAGAAGATGTAGCTTTGTTGATTGGAAATAATATTGGAGGGTGTTTGATGCAACATTTACAAGAATCTATAGCATAAGCGGGTTATCCCTAAACCAAAATCATAAGAAAAATGCCACAATCCGAAATTCTTCATTTTCAGTCGATTATGTTGAGACAATTATTCTAAAAATGTCTTTATTTTGTTAACAGCTGTCCTAGTAATTAGAAGTTTGTTTTAATTTGTTTTTGGTTTTACCTGGTCCATAGGAGAATACGTGGCTTTAGACTTTAGGTGGAGTCTGTTGCATTCTTTTATTAGTTAGTGGCTGCACTTCCTAGTCTCAAGCTTTTATCCGTTGGTTTTTAGTCTATAAATAGAGCAGCTTCTTATTGAATAATTTGTATCAGATTTCAAAGCAATAAAGACGTTCAGTCCTTGGTTTCTTTTATTTTTTGTATTCTCTTCCTTCTTCCTCAATATATTTAACAGATTAGACATGACATTAGTGATCAGATCTCACCCTCAACACCTCCTATTTTTACTGTTTTATCACCGATCGTACCAAAGTAAACAACTAAGCAAGATTGATGAGTAAACAGCTACAGAGTACGTGAATTAAATTTCAATTCATCAACCTTGTATTGATCAGCAATTGCACAGTATAAAAGAGACTTCCCCAGCGCTAAATCCTTTTTCTACACTAGATGCGGAGCGAATACAACAAATGTTTAACAGAATTCAAAGAAAACGAGAAAAATACCAAGAATAAGCATAGCATCGGGAAGAGCACCGAGTATGGGGAGAAACAGACCGCCTACAATTCCAGGGCCAAGGATTTGAAGTAAAAGCTCACTGCCGGCGGAGAGATAAGTAGCGGCAAGGAACATTAGGTAACCATACACTATAATTAGGAAGACATTTCCCAGTGCAGTGGTGGTGCACGGCATAAACCCATAGGTCTGTTCGCAGGATTCCTCAGCCATGTACAGCCGGAGGTAGGACGGGACACC